TTTGTATGTGGTGCTGAGGATCGAACCCGGGCCGCACGCATGCTAGGTGAGCACGCTACCGCTTGAGCCACATCCCCAGCCCCCCTAAAACTTTTCTTTAGGAGTCCTTCTTGGGTTGTAGGGCACTTGGGACTCTGTGTGAAAATACCCCTTGTTATTCAGTGTGGAAGAATCAGCCACATTTAGATAGGATGCTTTTTGGTGTAGTTTGTTGACTGGCAGCTTCAGTGAACATCTCATTTTTCCAAAATTATTCTCAGGAGTGAGAAAGCTGCATAGTTATTGCTCCCAGTCTGTGGATGGAGAAAGAGTGCAGAAGAAACAATAAATTCCATCTTCAAAGACAGTCACTGCTGGTGTTTATTCATAACTTCTTGCTCTTTTATAGCCTCCCAGGTCTGAGATGAGATATTACCATGTCAGACTTGTTCTTTGCAGTTCTACTTTTCTTCCTTTTTTTGGTGGGGGCGGGGGGGGGCAGTGCACTGGGGATTGAACATAGGGGTGCTTTGCCACTGAGCTACATCCCCAAGTCTTTTTATTTTTTATTTTGAGACAGAGTCTCATTAAGTTGCTCAGCGCCTTGCTAAGTTGTTGAGATTGGCCTTGAACTTGTGATCCTCCTGCCTCAGCCTCCAAGTTACTGGGATTACAGGTGTGTGCTACTGTGCCTGGCCTTCTTTCTTTCTTAAAAAAAAAAAAAAAAAACAAGTTTAAAAAGGGAAAAGTTTAAAATCTGATTTTCTAGTTATGATCTTCTTTAAAAGAATTCCTTCCTTCCTTCCTTCCTTCCTTCCTTCCTTCCTTTCTTTCTTTCTTTCCCAAATAAGCTGTTAGGGCTCTCTCTTGACAATTTCGTAGACACTATTTAAAATACTACTTCAGTCAGTTTAGTGAATAATCATGGTTTTCTTTTTCCATTTCCCATGTGTGTTCATTCTTGTTCTGATAGCCGCAATGAGACATAAGTAATGTCTATATCAATCTCTCATTTTCTTTTTTCCTAGTGTCTAGAAGATTCTTGAACAGAATGGTATGAATCTCTGTATCTTTGTACCTCACAACCTGATTGAAGACACGGTGTCATCTATGAGGCTCCACATTTATTTAAAGGAAAAATGAATTTGGTATGAAAAGCAGGGCATTTTGGCTAAAAAGTTCTCTCCTCGTGTTTTCTTCTGTATGACTAATTGCCAGGCTGGGTTTTTCCCTCTGTATTTACCAACAGGGTGGTTGGCCTTTTCCTCACAAATAAAAACTTATCTTCTTGCTAAGACCTTCAAAAGAGTCAATAGAAGGAGAACAAAGAAGGAAGGAAGAACTAATGCCTCTGGCCAGTCGAAATCTCCAGGACCTAGTAGCCCTGCTGTGTTGGACACTCCAGCTTAACATTTTTATCTAGAATTTAGTGTCCGTTTAAATGTAGAATATAACTGACCTTTATTTTCATTATTTTTGACCATCCATTGCTCCTCATACATTCCTGAAAAATGAAGACAGTGGATTGCAATTACAGATAAAAACATTATTGTGCATGCAATGGGTGGGGAAATAGAATACCTGACCTTTTGTGGCTTCTGAGGATTTTCTTGATTTTTCAGTGTCATGGAATCCTTGATAGTGAAGGCATCTGATTTGAGCTGGCATTTCAATTAGTAACTGACCTGGTTCACTGACAAGCTTCACCTCCATAGAGAAAAGGCAGCAGAACACACCCGCCAACTCAGCACCCAGACTGTGCTGCAAAGGAAGGTGCAGTGCTGTCCCTCAGAGCCACCGACTCTGGACCTCGAGAAGCTTAGGCAGGAAAACCTTACAGATTATTCAGAGGGAGGCAAAGCCTCTAAAACAGGAAAGAATATTATACTTTGAGAAGTATATGTTTTTAATTCAGGCTGCTACACCAAAGTCACAGACTCGGTAGTTTATGAACAACAGATATCTGCCTCTCCCAGGGGTGTAGGGTAGAGTGGAAATCTGAGATCAGGGTGCCAGCAAGGTAGGATTCTAGTGAGAGTTCTCTTCAGAATTACAGAATTCCATCCTCTGGGTGTATCCTTACATGGCAGAGAGAGGAAGCGCGCTCTCTGCCGACTTCTATAAGGACACTAAGCCCATCTAGAGGGCTCCACTCTCATAACCTCGTCTAACACTGATCACCTCCCAGAGGCCCTCTTCTAAGACCATCACATCAGGATGTAAGGTTTCAATATACAGATCTGGATGGGAACTAAACATTCACTTTCTTAACAGTGTATAAAAAAAAAAAATTAGGAATTGTTTAGTGTTGGAGGATATATATAAATTATGGTTTGTTCAAACCATTAAGTTGGGACCATGCTGGCCTCTGTCGTAGCCCACAGCCTTAGGATCAAACAGCCTTCTGGAAATAGATGCCAAATAACCTGTTTACTTCAGGATCCCTGCCACACCTATAAGCAAGCATGGAGACATCAGACACCCTGATCTCAGACAAGACCTCTCTAACACTGAAACCTTATACCTACCTATTCTCTTTGATCTGTACTGCTGTAAATAAAGCAAGTGAGGGCTTCTTGTTTGTTAGAAGCCAGACCCTTCTGATTGGCTCAATGGGTCATGCCCCTGCTTTAAAAATATTCTTGCCTTTTATCTTTATTTCTTATATACTACTTTCATAGCTTTTATTTATCAGCCAATCCATCCCTCAGATGGGTACCCACTCCCTCACCCACGGAGGACATGAGTGAGATTCTAGAGTTTCATAAGGGTTCCCTATCAGGGAGTGACTGCCCACTACAACCATTCTTGGACAAGAATATTATGGGACCAATCAAGGTGCAATAGGACCTAGAAGATAAATCTAGGTGATATCAAAGTAGGTACAACTCTGCCATTAAGCAAAGTGTTTTCACTGATGCTTTAGGAAGGAGATCAGAACTTAATATGCAATTGTATTTCATTGTATTAGATTATGCTTGATTCACTTTTATTACAGAAACTGAGTGCCTGCCTTTGATAAAGACTGGGTTAGTTCCGTTATTCAAGATGTCACAGAAAATAGTTGTTGCTCCACTGAGGGTAGTATCCCTTAGAATAGTAAGTGTTGAGACCATGGAATCATTGTGGGTGTCCTCTAATAGAACACTGACACTAGTTGCTCTGCAGAGTCTTATTTGGGAGGGAAATTACCCTTGAGCCATTGAAGCTAAGCTCCATCAGAGTGGGTCAGCAGGGTTATCTTGGGTTATTAAGAGTATCTTTCCTTAAGTGGGTTGGTGCATAAGCCTATTGTCAAGCTAGTAAAAGTTGTGGATCCTTTGGTTCTGAGATATGCAAAACAAAAGATATTTACCACTTAGGGATAGATCACAAAAGATAGAAAAGGGGTCATTGTGGGTCCATGACAGGGCTTTTTTGTTTTGGTTTTTGATACTGGGAATTGAACCCAGGCCACATTGCCACTGAGCTACATCCCCAGACTTTTTATTTTGTATTTTGAGACAGGGTCTTGCTAAATTGCTTAGGGCCTCTCTAAGTTATTGCAGCTGGCCTCAAAATTGCTATTCTCCTTCCTCAGCCTACCAAGTTGCTGATATTACAGGTGTGCACCACTGTGCCCAGCTTGGGCCCATGATATGAAAGTCAGAATCATGCAAATCCAGCATTCTGTGGTTTTCTGGGACTTGGGAAATGGTCCTGTGTCTGTGAAGAAGAATGGGAGCCTGTAAACTTGGGAGTGCAAGCAGGAGGTAACATAGGCCAAATTGTGGCTGAGGCTGTGGGATCATCCTTTACTGGCTGCCTCAGCAGCAGCAGTTGTCCTGCAATCCCTCTCAGACCATGGGGAGACCAGATGTCATCAAGAAACAAGCTGAGGTCCACCACATGAGCATGGAAGCTGTACTAATCCTTTTCTGAATGGCTTAAATCTCCTGGATTCTTACACTGGTCAGGAGTGGCAGTGGGCAAGGTCTTGAGGGAGAGATAATGAACTGCTTAGTTGAAAGGTTGTTCCTCTAATGATTAATCAGAAAAACAGGAGACATGAGAGTATTTGTATCCTCTGGTTGTAGGCCAGGTACACACAGAATGTTTTCACTCAGTGGTGTGGGTTCAGGAATTTTCAATTGACCCTACTTTTATTTTGTTTTAAAGTTCTACAAGAAGAATCTCTCGACATGTGATGGTAAACAGATAAGATCCACAGGATCTACATATCTAACTACAATAGTCTGCATTTTATAGGAAACACTAGGTAAGGAGCCTGTCCTAGAATATTCTTTTATATATAACTTACTCTTTTTTTCTTCCTCTAGTAAATGCTATATGTTACATTCACATATAAAAAAATAATGATTCCATATTTCATAGGAATTATTTGTGACAGTTCTACTAAATGTAAAAATCATTCTGTGATGGAAGACTAATGGATTTTGACTGTGGGGCAGTAAAGGATGAGAACTCATATTCTCAGAAAAGACATGTTTAGGATGTGCCCCCACCCCCGCCATAGCTTTTCCATTTAAGAAAATTTCTGCAGTTAAGAAAATAAAAGTAAAGCACCATCATTTTTGATTCATTTCTGAACTTTTCTTGCAAAGCAAGATGCAGAAACAGTGAGTCAACTCTCACCACTGCAGACCCTGCAGCAGGGACTTCTATGGTACCAGCTGCAGGTTTGGGTATAGACCAACAGTGTCATGGGAGCACTGTGTGACTAAGGCACAGAAGTAGGTGGCAGAGAGAACATACTGGGTGTCTGTGATGTGCAGGGTGCTAAGACGGGCCATGGTATCAAGTGAGGCTGTTAATGGTCCCTCCTGCTTCACTGCTCCATTTGACAGCAATATAAACAGAAATTCCAGGCTTTTCCCTGGATCCTGTCTGTACCAGTGCAGTCTGTCTGTAGAAGTGACTGAATAATTGCAGTAGATGGTATGGTCTTCTCCCTCCTGGGTGCTCAGGTATCGAGGGTTCTGGTCCATGACCACTTCTCCAGTTATCCCTGTTCAAAGAGAACATTTCAGAAGGAGGGGTTCACTGGTTACTTACCACCCAGTTCCTCTTCAGGGAGCCCAGGCAAAATGCATGGAGCCTTGTCACTATCCCTGCACATTGTGTGGATAATTCCTCTCTCCCCAATCCTCCTCTCCAATAAACTCACAGTCTAGTTGAAGCCATAGAATCACCACTAGTCCTGTCTTCATTTTTGTTTTTGTTTTTCTTTTTTGGTCCAATTCACTGAAGACTCAGATTTAGGAGTCTTGAAAGCAGACCGGGGCTTCTCCAAATATAGTACTTTTTCCTTTCTTTACAGAAATGCTATTTCAACAGATGTTCCAACCAATTACCATCAACTCATGCAATTCACTCAGTTCTTCCCTTTCATTAGATAAAAAAAAAAAAAAAAAAAAAAGCTTTGGACAGAGTTTGTGAATGGAAACAGTGCCCTCTTCAGGATACTTAGAAAAATTACTGAGAAAGCAATTTTCATAGAATTGAAACTTCATGGAGGTGGAATTTACTTCTTCTAAGCCAATGTTCTTAAAAAAATTCTTAAATTAGGGGCCTGGGGTTGTGGCTCAGTGGTAGAGCGCTTGCCTGGCACCCGTGAGGCACTGGGTTTTATCCTCAGCACCATGTAGAAATAAAATGAAGGTGTTTTGTCCACCGACAACTAAAATATATATATATATTAATTCTTAAATTAGTGTTTTAGAATCTCATTGACTTTGCAAGGACATATTTTCAATTGACATAAATATGATTGCATAAACTTAGGCAAAAGAAAAACACGTCGATTCCTTTAAGCCTGGCGAGTGCAGCAGTGAAGTGTATCTGTGCTTCTGGCATCTGGTTTACCAGGGAAATGAATCCCACAAGAATGCTCCTTTCCTCCTACTTCTCTCTGTGTATTAGCTTCATTTACTCAATCCACATTCCACCACAGGGAATGCCATTGCAAATATCTCCTGGCCTGGGTTCATTTCATAGTATAGCTACCAAAGAAATACCGAGGCTCCTTCTTTCTGATCTCAAATTTTAAAATTCTGGGCTAAAGCTATAATTACCTCAGTCTGGGTCAGGTTTCCTTCCAGATAGTCTATGCATGACCTGAGTGGCTCAGCTGGGTCAGGCATCACCTCTGGGTCATCAACAGCCCATTCATAAGTAATTTGGCAATTCCCATTCACACCACGTGGTTAGAATTTATCTTTTGCACAATGAGTTACTATTTTGATGTGAAGAAATGGTTAATGCCCACCATTACTGTGTTGTATGAAATCTGTGAACTGTTGATGGGGATGGGTGGGAAGGCTTCTCTTTTTTAAGTATTCCCTTAAACATGAGTAGCTACTTCTGATGAACTGGGTTAATTTATGAATCATCTTTCCCTCCTGTATGCAGTGTACCTTCTCTGTACCATGTTGACTGTCAGAGTCAGTTTCTTCTGTAACTCAAATAGCTGGTACAATGTTCTGGAAGAAAGGAAAAATAATAGCAATTCATGTATTGAGCTCACCTATATACTGAGCATTATGCTGCATGAATGCATAATCTCCTCATATCCTCACAATATCTATGTTTTAAGGCAAAGGAAACTGGGGCCTATAAAGGTTAAATAATAAATCTACAATCACACAGTTAGTAATTGGAATTGAGATTCAACCCGTCTGCATAGTTACTGGGCAAATGCCCTTTTCCATTCTTTCCTGTTTGAAAGTACCAAATCTGTTAAGATTTGGGGGTTCCAAGGCAGAGACAGGAATTTTTCTTCCATTAGTCTCATTACGATCAATGTGGGACTGCTTTCTATATATACTTGTTCTACCTTTTAAACCCTAAACTCAGTTCTCTGCTGTCTTAAGCAAGATCCACAGGAATCCCCTTTTCCTCTGGACTCTCTGTAGCAGATGAAATAATCCAGCACTGATTTTTCTCAAGAGCACTTGAGAAAATAGACGACATTAGGAAAAATAAAAGACTGGTCAAAAGTATCTACTAAGTACCCATTAAGTACAAGTACTGTGATAAATGATGGAATGAAGTCCTTATATAACATCACAAGGTCTAATTTTAATCTTAATGAAGTCATTAGTTAAGAAGATCAAAACAATATGCGCTAGAACAAAAGCTAATAGTGCAAGTCAGCATAACATTTGTTTGGATTTTTAAAAATAGGTTCCGTATGACTTCAGAAGAGAGAGGGGTTATGAAGTTAGTACAGTCTCTTTGGAGGAGCTGAGAACTAGAGAGTATATAATGTCTAGATAGAGATTTATAGGCCATTTTAGAAAGTGTAGAGATAGGAGTGTGGATAATGTGCTTTGGGGAAAGTGTTAAGAATGGTCTGACTAACAGAGAAAACACAGACTGGGAAGTAGCCTCTGGAAATCATAATGGATTGGTGAAATGAGGAGCTGATTATGGGGTCTCTGAAAGCCACTCAAAGAGACTTATATTTATGAGAAAGCAGGAACTGTTGTGGGGTATAGAGTGGTGGGGTAATGTGTCAGAGAGAGATTTTAAAAGAAGGTATGGCAATGGTGTAGAGGGTTTGGGAGGGGTTGAGATAGTGAAGCAAGAAAGAGACTTAAATAATGGAGGGGAACACTTCTTTCAGCTCCAGGGAAGA